CAACATATTCCCTTATGTAACAGGTGGCGAGGTTAAGTTATGCTAAAACACTAAAAACTGTAACTTTTTATTTATTTCTGGTTTGGTTCATGATGGCTTTTGAATTTGCATGCGATTTTTAAGTACGAGCGTATTATTTATTATAAATACAGGTACTACATCTTCAATATACAATAGAGAATGTTGAATTGTTGATATGACGAATATAAATTATTTAAGTATTTTTGTTTATTCGGTTCTCAGTAATTGTATTTCAGCAACACTACGAAAATAAAATTTAGAATTAGTTCAGTGTTTATAACGTCTGTATGTCCTCTTTTTAAAATTTAAAATTTTACAACTTCAGTTTAATCAATAGAACAGTTTGATGTTGATATGTGCATGCTTACACATAGCTTACATATGTTTACTTAGTAGGACCTGAATGACAACAGTATTGAGAAAAAGGATATTATTACAAACAAACCCCATTTTAGTTTACACTATCTCAATCTGCATATATTATCGTGCTGGTTTCATGGTTGAATATCGGAATAACATATAGTCTACGAGATTGTATTATATTTGTAATTCGGTAAAATTTAAAGAGTTTGTTCAAACAATGCCTTCAAATAGATGTGTTCAATCTATTGGATGGAGAGTGTCGTATTGATGCTTTGTAATACAATATGAGTTTATGCCCATTATAATAAGATAACGACCCATTAGATTACAAAAAGTACGTGTAAATTTTATAGAGATATTCATGTATAAAAATATATAAAAATCTAAAATACCAGTTTTATTATACTAGTATGCCTTTAACAATGCATGTAAGGGTTATAAGAGTTATTACATAATAAAGGAAATAGGATTTCGATAATTTTTAATTGCAACATCTTTTCTTCGAAAATGTAGTTTTCCATGCAAAGCATCATTACAATATCACCAATCAGATTTAATTCAGAACAGAATCTGATTGTTATTGGCAACTCTTTACAGGATATTAAGAAAATGTATTCATTTATATATTTTTCTACACCATTCTTCGTCTCCATAGTCATTTTTTTACTTGTGCTAATTTATAGCTGATCAATGCACATTAATGTTATTCATTTTCATTTTGCGTGACAGTCTACTATTTAATATGTATTAATTTCCGTTAAAAAAGCAAAGGTGGTGCAGTTGAGCGTCTGACATATGTAGTTATTGCATTTTCAGATGGCGAGACAATTACAGATTGTTAATTTTCATTATTTTCGTGTAAATCTTGATAAATATTGTCTATTTAATGCTGTAGTAGTAAAATTTGCACTTTCTGTATTTGGCAAGTCAGCTTTATTCATTCTTTTATGATACTTAAATGTGTCACTGATTTTTGTTATTTATATTGTTACGTTGATATTTATTGATCGATTTTAACAATTTGACATTTATTCGGTATGGGACTGACAAAACAATTGATCAAACGAGAAAAAGTGTTTAAAGATAAGTGTAGGTAAACTTCCGGCAAGCTCAGCAAATATTTACGTGACGGGGAACTTTTATAAAATCCGTTATTTGTAAAAAGCAGAAAATTGTGTTGTCTGGCACTGAATGAATAGACATAGAGTCTGTTCTTACCAAGCTACACAATTTCAAACATTGTTTTATTGTTTTTAAATTGAATTCTCTGTATAAAACATAAAGTCAAATCCTAAAGGTAATTCAAATTATGATGAGGAGAAACAACGCCAGAAAATCTAATGTATTAAATTGAAAGATATAAAATATCACGAATTAGTGTTACAGTTATGCGATTTAAAAGAAAATGACGGGAGCAGTTAAATTTAAATCTGAATACCGGTATATAAAACTGATATTTAAATGGTTAAATGGCATACTATTAAAAAAGACAAGAGCCACCGCCGGGCGGGGGCAACGCTCGACTTTTTACTTTTTCTAAACGGAAACATGGAAAGGTTTGAACATATCTTAACGTTTCCTTTTTATAAATTTAGTTGGTCTGTCTTGTAACATTAGTTTTGTTTGATATTTTGTATATATATATGAATAGAAACATTGCGCAATTTCTAAAAATAGCAACATGACGCAATTTCTAAAAATAGCAACAATGACGCAATTTCTAAAAATAGCAACAATGACGCAATTTCTAAAAATAGCAACAATGACGCAATTTCTATAAATAGCAACAATGACGCAATTTCTATAAATAGCAACAATGACGCAATTTCTAAAAATAGAAACAATGGCGCAATTTCTAAAAATAGCAACAATGACGAAATTTCTAAAAATAGCAACAATGACGCAATTTCTAAAAATGGAAACAATGACGCAATTTCTAAAAATAGCAACAATGACGCAATTTCTATAAATAGAAACAATGACGCAATTCTTGTTGTTGTTGTAAATATATATATACACACACACACACACCAATAAATATATAATTATGGTCATTTAATGCACAAATCTGAGAAAATTCAGTAATTTAACCTTCAAGGTCAAGGTCATTAAAGAGCCCAAGCAAATTTGGGTTTGATAAACAACGAGGTCTGGTCCTTAAGAATGTTCTGTTATAATATGAAGTTGATCCCTTCAATAATAGCAAAGTTACAGTCAGTTACCGCCAAAACAATGAAAATTTCAATAATTTGACCTTCAAACACAATGTCATTAATGAGTGAAGGTCAAGGTCTTTCGGTATATTTTTAACAGTTATCTTTGAAGATTATTATGTTCAAGTTTCAAGACAATTCATTCAAAAATAACAAAGTTACAGCCAATTATAGCCAAAAAAATGAAAATTTCAATAATTTGACCTTCAAAGTCAAGGTCATTTATGAGTGAAAGTCAAGGTCTGTCTAGTTATTTTTAAGGGATATCCCTGAAGATAATTATGTTCAAGTTTGAAGACAATCCATTCAAAAATAACAAAGTTACAGCCAATAATAGCCAAAAAAATGAAAATTTCAATAATTTGACCTTCAAAGTCAAGGTCATTTATGAGTGAAGGTCAAGGTCTGGCGGGTTATTTTTAAGGGATATCCTTGAAGATTATTATGTTCAAGTTTGAAGACAATCCATTCAAAAATAACAAAGTTACAGCCAATAACAGCATGAACAAGCAAAAATTGGACTTTTAACCTTGAAGGTCAAGGTCATTTATGGATGAAGGTCAATGTTAGTGTGGTCTACTGAAAGGTCTTGTCCCAAGGGTTGTTGTGGCCAAGTATGAAGACAATACACCAAGAAATTAAAAAGTTATGATCCAGGTACAAGTTTGTGGACGGGAACGGCAACGGCAATGGCAACGGCAACGGCAACGCCGACCTGACTATAACAATACCTCTACTTTTTTTTTTCATATTGTTAACAAGAATATTGGTATAAATATCATACTTCTATATTCTCCCTTGTTAAAACTAGTGTTGGCACAGGTGCACTGGGAATGTGAAACACAATATATAGACGGATGACAAAATCAGAATAACTTGAAATAATATAAACACATAAAAGAAAAGGAAATATCCGTAACATTAATCAGATCAAAGTGATTGTTTTAGCTATAGTTCGCCTACACGTTCCCTCCCCTTATTGACGAAAACTATCAAAATAAAACCAAAATTTAAAGCTGGCATAATTACATGTATATTGAAAATATTATTCGATGGTATCAAGTTACTCTTTTTGTTCTCTTTTGTACAGGAGTTGGACGATCTTCTTTCATATTTCAGTTCCTCAAACCAATCAGACATGTGTTGTTCTGTAGGTACAAGGAATGATAATAAAAACAAATTTATCTTGCATTTGACCTGTCAATGCGATCTTAACCTTAGCCGTAGAGAGTTGCACACAACCAATGTTGACCATTGTTACCATCTACTTTAAAGAAACTCTACTGAGGTCTGAAAACCTAAAATCATGAAAAATGTATTTCTTGCATAGATTAGATGGGGCACTTCAAAAAGACATATATGATAAAGATAGTAAATAAATATAATTAGGAACAATTTTAAATCGTATTTTGTGCTACTTATCCCTTATCAACGCTTTTCAATTTTTGGTTATTTTAACAATTTGAATAATTATTCCGGACAAACGGAGTGATATTTTGCAAAAAGTTTATTTACAATGGATGTGATGATCTTTTATAGGTTTCTTTTAGTTTATGTTGTGGGAGAGCAATAATTGTGTATTTTATAAATCCTGGTTCTAAATCATCACACTGGAATATAATCCTTTTCACAGTATCTTTTATCAATGTTTTATGCTAAGCACAACGATCCAGTTGTCTTATTTCACTTTTATTTTTAATCCTCTTTTACCTTTAACAACTTTACACTTTACAATAATCAACTTTTAACACACTTTTAAGAATACTTTTTTATAATACTTTTCAGAATACTTTTACCTTTTAGAACGAATCAATGATTGAATTAACATTGACAAAATACTTACAATATATACCATCAAAGATTATACTAGATGGAATTACTAGTATATTCTAAACTACTATAGAATTCAACAGAACAAATACATCAATCATTTCTAGCAATTTCTAGATAATTATAAACGTTATACATCATTGATCATAAATACAAGTCCTTTAACAATTTACCACTATGAAATGAAAAACCAAATACATTTATAATCCTAATCCCTATTCAAATAATAACAAAAAGAGATAATCGCGATCATTCGCGACATTCCCGCCTAAACAAAAAATATGTATAAGTATTTTTACAACAATTATACAAAATACATAATGTAATGTAAATTGTCATTAACATATTTTATGACAAATAAGATTTACATAAATATACAAAATTTCGCATGTAAGCGACCCTCCCCCTAAACAAAGTAGTAACAGTAAAAAGACCATTTCTAATAATAGACTGTTTAAATGTTTAGTCGTTCATAAGTGAGCTTTAATAGTCCACCTTGCTTTTGCTGCTGTTTATCTTTAAAGGTATTTCTCTTTTCTTAACTTGTTCTTTGTCCTTGGCCGAATTCATCCTTCATCTTTCCAAGGCAATTTTACTTGATATCTTCCATTTTCCTTTCTTTAGTGTTTCTTTAAAACGTTCCAACACATCTGCATCAACCCTCTTAGCATCATTTTTGTTTGTTATTCCAATAAATTCAAGGTTCCAGAAATCATCTAGATCAGGTTTCCTCTGTAATGAGTTGTCTATGCTTCTTAATACTCCAAATGTTTTGTAATTTTCCTCTGTCATTATAAGCATGTTTAAATCTGAAGATTTGGTTAAATCGCCTGTTTCTGAGCGCCCTGTAAGAATCCAGCCTAATTTAGATGCTAGAAGGTAAAGTCCTTGCTGAACCTTGATCTTTTCGTGTAACACAAATTCTAGATAGAAGTCATTTCCAATAAGTAATTCTACTGTGTCTGATTCAACATGTGTCGGAACTGTATCAGCGAGCTTTATGTATTGTGTTAAATTTCTAAAGTGTTCCTTGTCAGATATTGTTACAGGTTGTCGTTGAATTGTGGCTGTAATTCTTGGAACTATATTTGCTGTAATAGTCATATATGTCCCATCACTAAGTTTAACATCAACCTTTGTAGTTTTAGTTTTAATTACTTTGGTTTTATCACTTGCAAAAGTTACCACTCTTATTTCCTGATCATTTTCATGTACAAGTCCCAGTTTGTTTGCCATCTGTTGTGTAATGTAAGTCCTTTGTGATCCGCAATCAAGAAGCAACCTCGTTTTAACACTATCTCTGCTGTTTGGTTGTTTCAACTCTGTTTGTGCTGTTTGCATTTGCACTGTTTCTTTAACTGTCAATAAAACATTTTCAGTCTGTCCTGCATCTGTATCTTCTTGCTTTGTTGATGGATAACTTTCTTCCTCTGCCAAATTAATACTTTCATGCACAGCCTTTCTTAAGAAACGTTTTGGGCATAGGCTTCGATGGTGAATATCCTTTTGTCCACAATATACGCATGTCTTTGTTGTTTTGCAATCTGATGAATAATGTCCTTCTTTTAAACATTTAAAGCAACAACCTTTCAATTGTCTTTGTCTTTCATCAATTGTTTTGAATTTTTGACATTCATCACTCCAATGTGTGTTATTGCAAAATGCACACTTCATTGACATTTCCTTGGATAATTTTGGTCTGGCTGATAATCCATATGAAGCTGTCTTTTGGTCGCGATATTGACTATTTTTATCTGTTATATATTCTGATCTTTTCAGTGGATTTTGATGAATGTTTTTTGTTTTCTCCAATGCTTCAATGTATCGCTCTAGCACATCTCGTAGGCAATGCACGGTCCATTCATATTTTGGTTCCTTCAAAAGTTCCATTTGTAAAAGAACTTCTTGGGGCAATTTTTTTCTGATCATGGAAACAAAGACTTTTTGGTTTAACTCCTCTTCTAGAACTTCCAAACTGCGCATATGTATTTCTATTTTGTCAATAAAAGTCCTTAAACTGTAGGTGTTGTTTTGTGCGGGAGGTAAATCCATTAAAGCGTTGTAGTGCAAATCAATAATTTCTTGTTTATTTCCGTACCTGGCATGTAAAATCTTTAGTGCCACTTTATAATTGTCATTCGATAAGGTAAGTCCTTCTATTGAACTCCGTGCTTCACCTGTAAGCTTGTTTCTTAAATAATTGAATTTTTCAATATTTGGAATATTGCTATTGTTATCGACTGCACTCTCGAACGAATCCCAAAATTCTGTCCATTTAAGCTTATTACCATTAAATGGCATAATGTCTATTTTTGGTAGTTTAAAACTGGTTGATTGTCCATACTTCATTTCGGCTTGTCTTTCAAAAAATTGTTCCTGTAATTTCATTTGGAGTTCAAACATTTTCTGCATATCTTCTTGCGTGGATGTCATCTTTATTTGATCTTCTTGTGATTGACTTTTGACCTTTGTCGAATCCAATGCTTCCTGCTCGAGCTGTTGCAGAGAACAACATATGTCAAATGATTCATCACATATTTCGCAAGTTTCATCTGCAATGCTTTCAATAAATTCTGGTTCCTTTTCCCCGACAATTGAAGCTAACTTTGCAGACTGGTCTTGAAGCTTTGTGGAATACTCTTGTAGTTTCTTCAAACACTTATTAACTCTCATTCCTAACTGTTTTGAGTCTGTATAACACATATCTTCTTTAAGTATATCTTTCCCACATAATATTTCTTTCTTTAATATATTGAGATAATGTGTGCGAACTGACTTTAAATACTGTGCACTCTCCATCTTGTCGACTATGTATATTTTCTTTTATTTATTCTTTCTTTCTCTTTCTTTCTTTTTTCTTTCGTTCTTTTTTTCGTCCTTTTTCTTTTTTTTCTTTTTTTTGCAGCTAGGATCGGGTTCCGGCGCCAATCAATGTGATGATCTTTTATAGGTGTCCTTTAGTTTCTGTTGTGGGAGAGCAATAATTGTGTTTTTTATAAATCCTGGTTCTAAATCATCTCACTGGAATATATTCTTTTTCACACTATCTTTTATCAATGCTTTTAACATAGCACAACAATCCAGTTGTCTTATTTCACTTTTATTTTTAATCCTCTTTTACCTTTAACAACTTTACACTTTACAATTATAAACTTTTAACACACTTTTAAGAATACTTTTTTTATAATACGTTTCAGAATACTTTTACCTTTTAGAATGAATCGATGATTGAATGAACATTGACAAAATACTTACAATATATACCATCAAAGATTATACTAGATGAAATTACTAGTATATTCTAAACTACTATAGAATTCAACAGAACAAATACATCAATCATTTCTAGCAGTTTCTAGATAATTATAAACGCTATACATCATTGATCATAAATACAAATCCTTTAACAATTTACCACTATGAAATGAAAACCAATACATTTATAATCCTAATCCCTATTCAAATAATAACAAAAAGAGATAATCGCGATCATTCGCGACAATGGAGTCCCTTCTATCCCGACAAATCTGGTAAATGCTCGCAACACTACGTAAAAGTTGTATCAAAATATACTGAAATCCTACTTGTATGTCGAATATATACTTCGGACCGCCTGATCACCCTCTAGCTAGACAATCGTTCCCGTTTAACATACATGTATTATTTAATGTTCATCATAAGATGCGTTATTTAAGGTTCCAATGATCTATTTTGTTCATATATTTAATATTAATAACATTAAGAATAAATCTTGTAACTGTGCCATTAAACATGGCATCGATCTCTTTAAGCAACATTTATTTCCGCATATAAAACCTTAACATTTGAATGATTAAACAATAACGTTTGTTTAATTGAATATTATCAGAGAGTGCGCAATTATAGTTTTCATACATTGTAATTACATGGTGAATAGCTAAATAATTCATGTGAATGTCAGGAAATCATACCATTATTGTTTATTATCTAATTGAATATAATACAAAGCAAAATCATTTGTCCTTGTTAAAATGTCCGTTCTTGACGAGACACAAGTTTTAATATAATGACTGTAAAAACACGTAATTTAAGAATTCCCTATTGCACTTACTTTGCAGAAAATGCATGCCCTATCAAATTGTATGTGTGCTGTGTTAGAGAAGAGGCGGGATTTTTGTTGCAAATTAAGAAAATATAGAACTAGTGTCTCAGTACTATTGTATTCTTATCATACCATGACATCTGTCAGGTCAGTGGTGAATTATGCGACATATAATTTCATTTTGCATGAAAGATTCATATTTATATTCTTTTAATTTCCGGTTATTTAAATTGAATCAACTATGTATTTATATCTATGAATAAAGCCATTAATGTTTGTGTTAGATGACACGATGAAAATATATAAATGTAATTACTAGAACAAAAAATGTTAACTTTTGTCTGCATTTTTCAAATCTTTCTCTGGCTGTTTCAAATAAAATGTTTGGGGGATGTCCGTGACTGAGTTTCTAAGGAGGTCGACCACTTGTCCCTAACCGTTGTACGCTCGAATCCCGACAGGGACTATTTATTCATTTGATGAATTAAGCTTTTAACTTTTCTGTTATCAGTGCACTCTTTAAAAGACAACTGAAACAAAAACGTTTGCGACATTGAATTATATTAAATGACTGACAAGGGTGACGAAAAGTAAGTGACAAAATCAAATATTATGTTGGACTTTTTCTCAGAGAAGATCGAGGCTAATAAAACCAGAAGTTAATTTAATGCTTCCTAGATAATAAAGTGGCAAAAAACATTGAGGTTTATTGTATAAACGCAGTAAATATTCCTCCTTTGCTATTACAATCTGTTACAATAGGAAGCAATGTACAATGGAATTGTAATTAAATTGAGGAGCGTAAAGATCAGGGCTGATCCATTTATTCTTAAAAAACAAAAATACTGAAGCGTTGACATATCCACGAAAGAAAATAAGAGTAGTTTCCAAGAAACCTTATAAATGGTCTTTCAACGATTGAATGTAATAAATAGCATTATTTACGGATATGCCTTTGACCGATGTAGAAGAGTGCTGATAAACCAAAGATCATACACTAGGTTGCGCATTGTTCATGTTTATAGTTACTTCATAACATGTACGGAAACAAGCAGGAAGCACTGACTTTAAGTGTGTTTGGTGCCTTAAAAAACGTAACGCAAAATACTCTTTACTCAATTAAATTTACGACATGTTTATTAAATTGTTTAAATACCATTTTGGTGACAAAATATGAAGTAAAGGATTATCAAAATATGAAAAACAATAGTTAATAATTTTGTATGTGTTGTAAGCGTTTATGTATTATCCTTGCGTGCTCGTAAGACGCGAATAAATTTGTTCGAACAACTGGAGTCCTTGCATCTCTCAGCTCCAGCAGGTGAGGTGGTTTTGACCCCTGGTGTTGCTTTTAAGTTAGTAACACCCGCGATTATTCAATATAATCTTTCCCGAATCGGCGCCATATGACATATACTGTGTTGGTGCGACGTACAACAAAACAAACAAATGTGTATATATGTGCTCTGATAAAAGTGTGCTTTATTGCCAGTGTCTTCTAATTCACACAGCACTTCAGTCACAATGATAAAATATTATTTCTTTCAAAATATAACATAAAATGATGATGTCAAGAAAATCACAGCGTTTGTTTCAGGATGATTATACAAAAAGTAATAATAGTGCACTTTAGAGATAATTAATCTAAATATTACCAAGCCTGTGATTTTCCAGAAAATGTTTTGTTTGCATTGTCTTAGATTGATCTTCCATTTTCAGAATGTGCCATTAAATAACGGATAAAATTGACATTGGCACAAACCATCAACAAATATATATATATATAATGTGACAAATGGTAAAATAGTAAATGTAAACGATGATATATTATATATTGAATCAGTAAACACATATATAAAGTCGGAAGTTAGCAATGAAGCATATAATTATAGTAGTTTAAATACTATATCTTTAGTGATATCATGTAGTGATGAATATAATAAAAACACTGTCACCTAAACTACGGTTACTCGGCCGCGTCATTCTAACATGACATTCTTATGGCAATATTAACAAGTATTTTCACGAAACTCGTACTCGTACTAGGAATGTTTTTATAAAAACCCAATGCATTTTTAAGACAAACACGCTAATTTCAGCTGCCTGTCACGCCGGCGTCCTGCTTTGTGCGTTTATAGTACATTTCTGAGTTTGTTGTGCGTTTTTCGGCGTTCATAAGAGTTCCTATGGCGTTCTATTGGCGATAAAATGCTACCTGAAGGGGCTTTACTGCATTCACAGAGTGGCTACTTCAAATCAATGGCATCTATGGCGTTCATGCGGCGTCTTCACAGCGACTGTAAGGACTTCCTCGAAACGTACAAGTTGTATCAATAACTTTCTAGTTTGACTGCAAACGAATTAATGTCGCCAATCGCATGCATATTTATGTGCAATTTGACGACTGTGCAAAAACTATAGAACGTTCAAAAAGCTGCTTTAAGTTAATAAATACTCAAGTGATACTAAATTGAAATAGAATTAGGGGCACTATTCTTTTTTGCTCATTTATGTTAACTGACATTTAGTCAACATTAAACGGCTGAAGTCCAACTATTTGATAATGCAAGAATGTTTTACGTCTTACTCGGTTTATGATGGTTAACTTGTATATCTAAATAAAAGTCCAACAATTAGATTTAATCTTCCGGGTTAATTTGCGATATGTATATAGTTGATTTGTAAATATTAACACACTTATTATCTACTGTTTTAAAGAAAGCATAGCTTGATTGCAATGTTTATTACTTTTGTTTTGGCTTACTTGGAATTGGCGTATGCAGGTACTGAAATTATGATTTCTGTTTAAGTGATAATTCATTTAGAAAATAAGCCTGTGGGTTGTTATGTATCCCTTTTTAAAAATAACTTAAATGTTTTATCTTAACACAGACATTTCTAAATATGATGAATTTAAAAAAGGGGTTATACACACTGTTTTCAAAATTTCAAACATTTAGAAAACCAAACGTTTATTTGTTATCAGACCTTTGTAATCTTTTCTATGAAACAGAAACATCCCAGATGACTGATGAAGTATTAAATGTTGGTTCCTTTTCATAGTCGCATATTATACACGTATGTCACAAATATATACAACATATTATAATGCATAAAAAAACGTGCATAGCCATCCGTGTAAGTATAACAAGAGATTATTCAGTTTCATATATATAATAAACAACTCAAAATTCCATAATTTACTGAATTATCTCTCTTTGTACTCACATTTCAACGGCACATTACAAAATAAATGAAAGGCATAATAACTAACAGTTTATAAACAGTTTAAATCAATAGTATACCGATCGTAGTTCATTTAATGATATACATGTATATAAAGATTTATTTCCTGCAGGCAACATTTCGATAATTAAACATTGCCCCATTTATTCATAAAATGCAAAAACAAATTAAAACAGATATAAAACAGTTCAAAAACTTAGTATTTACAGTTTCATTAATAAATGGTTTTAAATTCCTTTAGCATTGTCAATAGTATATAAACATTTACTTATTACTTGACAAAGTTTTTATATGCGTACGTTTCAGTTCGCGTGGTTAAGTTAAGTTTATCAGAAGGCAATGTACCAGAGAAAGGCAACGACATATCAATGTTATGTGAGGTTGAGATTTCAGCAGATGATGGAATTCTAACAATAAACATATTGAAAGGAGACACAAAAATTGCTGACTGTTTTTTAATGCAGGAAATATA